TACAAGTAGTTGCAGTTAGAGAAGCTGTGATGGAGAAGGTCATGGGCAAAGAAACAGGAGGTCAAAGGAGAAGGGTGGGTAGGAGGTGAGGAGTGACATCAGTCCCACCCCACTCATGATCTCGAAGCAGGTGAAAACATTGCTCTTCAGGTTCTCTGCACATTTTGATGTGCACCAGCCAGGGGTTAGTGTGACAGATCAAGGAATGGGCAGAGATGGATTTGCTGCCAGACCATTTTTCCTGCTCCTTGGTTGTAGTCATAGGAATGTCACATGAGAGACAAGCCCTGGCAGTCAGAGTGTCCGAGCTGGACAGCCCTGGCAGGAAGTTCAGTAAGATGGCCCTGGGGTGACCACTGTGGTGCTCGGCAGTCCTGCCTGGTTCACTGGGTTGTGGCACAGCTGTGCCACCTCTGTGCACCTTTTGGGCTAATCTGGGTTGTAGTTGGTCTGGGTTGTGGCACAGCTGTGCCACCTCTGTGCACCTTTTGGGCTCATCTGATCCACTCCCTGTGTTTCCCAGTGTGGTCTTGAAACAGCTCTGGTTCACCTGTGCCTATAGAAGCACCCAGGTGCTTTGCAGTGAGGTCAGGGATGTGGCATCTCCACCTTTCTTTTACACTTTTAAGATTGCTGTGTTTTCTATGGGGTTTTCCATGTTGTAGTGTCATATTCTGAGAAATCTCAAGTTCCTGGTTCATGGCCTGCACATCCAGTGCACGTGAAGGCAAAAACTTGTGGGGATACCCAGGCTGGGCTGCTGTCCTTCCTCCTCCTGCTGGCACAGACCTGCTGGGAATGCTGCTGCTCCAGGGGATGGGAGATTGGAGCAGGCAGTGCACGGAAGTCCCAGAGCTGTGCTGGTGGCTGCTGGAAGCCCTCCCCAGTTCCATTGTTTCAAGAAGAATAGATCCCTCACATTTTCACACTCTGCCCCCCGGTTTGGCTGACTCATCGAGGTAGATGCAGCATTTGTCTTATTCACAGGAAACAGCCATGCTGCTCTTGCTTTGCCTGTGTGCTCCAAATGGATGTCATTCAGATCCACCAAGACAAATTCCTTCAGTCCAGCTGCACGTTTCTAAACTGGTTGTTGCAGTAGAGGTAGAAAAACAAACATGGGATGGGCTGAGCTGTTTCTTGGAAAGCCCAGGGATGTGTCCCACTGCTCAGATTTATCTGCTGTGCATTCTTCAGCTATTGTGGTGCCCCTCAAAAGCATGATCAGAGTGCTGGTGCCATGCCCTGCCTGCTCATTGCATCCAAATCTTTAAATATTGGGCAGAGGCTATCAGTAATTGCCCCAGCAGTTTCAAAATATCTTTTTAAGACTATGTGACAAGGTGTCTTTGTGATTAGGTCCTGCTGAGTTTTTGCAGGATGGGTTTGAACTAGAATTTGGCCATCACTAATTCTTCTTGACTCCATCAGAGGAAACTCCTGAGTTAAACATATATAATGGGTTAATAAGATCTTGCATGAAATTGCTAATTTTTATTTGCAAATATATTGGTAGGAAATGTTTTTAAGCTGTAGTGGATCCCATCTTTCTGCAGCATCCCGATGCTTCTGTAGCAGCATGGGGGTTGTTGCTTCCATCTCAGTGTGAGAGCAGAGGAGCTTCAGTGCCTCCTGTTTCTGGTGCACATTCCCAGCTGTGTTATCCCAGGACATTTTTTGGATATGGGACCACTTGGCAAAGAAATAGGGTGTGGAAACCCCCCCACCAAAAGGGTCAGTCCTGAGTTCCTGGATGTCCCAGTAACGGGAGCATGGTATCCCAGCACTCCAGTGCTTCCTGGGACAAAGGAAAAGGTGTGCAGGGTTTTTAGAGTTCAAAAAGAGAGAACTGAGAACTCCCCCTTCAAACCTCACACAGCAAAAACATTACAGGGATAAACTCATGTAGGCTTTCCTGTGAGCCCCTGGCTCAGTGCCTTGTCAGTGCTTTTGGACCATCCTGAGGCTGGGTTATCTGGGGAATTCAGAGCTGCTCCTTTGCTCAGACCATCACCATGGAAGTGTCTTTGCTTGGAAAAGTTCTGATCTTCCTTTCTGCTCCCACAGTGGGAGAGGATCCCTGTGACTTGGAACAGCACACCTGCCCTGCCCTCTGTTTTACAGTGCCTGTCAGCCTGACACAAACCCCACAGTGGGATTTTTACAACTGCTCTGTGTTCTGTTGCTGAGAATTTTCAGTTTTCCTGTGCCCAGCTGTCAGTGGACTCCAGAGACAATACTTTTACACTTGTTACCTGCAGCCCCTTCCCAGGTGCTTCCATGTGAACAGAAACCCCATGAGGTGCTGCTGTCTGGGGCTGGGGGGTCTTCAGCAGGGGCTGATCCTGCTCTGAGACATCCAGTGACTTGGAAATTCCCCATCATCTAGGACTCTTACACTACATGGGATTCCTGGAGTAATCACAGCTTGTCTTTATGGATTTGAATTGAGGGGAAAACACTTGTGTTCACTACATTCAGAGCATCTTATTTCTGCTGCAGCTCCCTTTACACCGATGGGGTGCTGTAAAAGGGGACTTGGGAAGGCTAAATTTGCATTTATGTTCATTTGGAGCCCTTTTACACTCCCTGAATGATGTGTCAGGGGGCTGACAGCCTCCTTTGCCCAGCCCCAGGGTAAAGAGGGATGGTGTGAAACCTGCACCCACTGAAACCAATAGCAGAGCTGGCACTGGCTCCCAGGAGCACCAGATTGGGCCAGAAGCGTGGTCACAGCAGAATGTTCATCACAGTTTATTCTCTTCCCACATCCAGATGCCATTTGCATTGTCAAAACACTGTCATGGATACTGAAAGGATTTTTAGCAGGAATTTCAGAGCATCCCTTTCCTGTTCTCCCCAAAGTCCCACGGCTGTCCCCGTGCAGCCTCTCTGGATGTCTCGTGGGGGAGTCGGCAGCGCTTGGGAAGCCCGAGAAAATCCCTGACTGCTTAAAGCAAGGGAGGAGGCAGGGACAAAACTTCACAGAATCACAGAATTCCCAGAATCACTGGGTTGGAAGAGACCTTCAAGATCATCGAGTCCAGCCCAGCCCCAACACCCCAACCAAACCCTGACCCCCAGTGCCACATCCAGGCTTTGTTAAACACCCCCAGGGATGGGGACTGCACCACCTCCCCTGCAGCCATCCCAGAGCTTTATCACCTTTCTGGAAAAAAACTTCTTCCTAATATCCAACTTGAATTTTGATGATGCAGCTGCAGGCTGTGTGCTCTGGCTGTGTCAGTGCCTGCAGACAGAGCCCAGCCCAGCTGAGCACAGGCACCTTTCAGGAGCTGTGCAGTGCTGAGGGCACCCCTGAGTTTCCTTTTCTCCAGGGGAGCACCCCCAGCTCCCCCAGGGGTTCCTCACAGGGTTTGTGTCCCAGCCCTTCGTCTCCAGGGCTGTGCCACAGAGCTGCCAAGGCTTCCTTCTTTGGCTGGGTGTTTTTAGCTCGAGGTTGGCTTTGCTGTCCTGCAGGATGCAGTCCTGTGGTGGTTTCCTCAGCCAGGTGTCCTGGGAGCTCACTCCCTGCACTGCAGCCCGGGGGGGACGTTTCAGCACCAAGAATCAAAGATGATCAGAAGAGCACCACAGGCAGCGTTGTGTGATGTTTTCTCTTTTAATCAATGGTGAGGAAAAAGAGAACATGTTGTTGCTCATCTGTTTTAATTTAAGAAGCCACACACACCCTGCAGCAGTCGGGATCAGGCTGGGCATTTCCTCAGCTGGAAATCAAACCCATTTCACTCCAAGGGGAAGGAGTTCACTCAGAAGGAAACAGGACCTGGGGTTTAGGAGGAAGGGCTGAACCGGCAGGGTGGCTCCAGGCCAGAGCTCTCCCTGCACCCTGGAGCAGGTTCCCTGATCCAGCAGAGCTTCCCTGGGTGGTGACTCCCACCTGCACGGGGCTGCAGACAGGACAGAGGGCCAGCTCCTCCCTCTGCAGGGTGACACTCAGCCAGTGCCACCGGGCTTTGGGGTTGACATCCAAGCACAGTGAGTCAGGAGGATGGCTGAGCAGAGGGTGAGGCAGTAAATGATGTGTAAATGCAGTTTTCTCTCTCTGAGGCAAAACAAGCAGCTCTGCTGGGGCTGAGATGCATTCTCAGAGCTCCCTGGCTGTGCAGTCCCTGCACTGACCCCAGCCTGAGGAAGAGGCTGGAGCAACACTTCTGTAATTGGCAGGATGGGGAGAACCAATTTGCCTTGCCCTTTCCCAGTGGAGAGGGCTGTGGAAAAGGGAGACTTCCTCACATCACCCCAGGCTGGCTCTGACCCACCTTGCTGGGAAACAGGAGAGTTCCTGACCTTGCTTGGCATCACCAGGCAGATCTCGGGCAGATTTTTTTAGGAAGGCAAAAAGAAGAACTGATATTTCCAGTTCGCTGGTTAAGCTAAAAAAAAAAAAAAAGTTAAAAAAAAGGAACAATTTTTGGATTTGACCAGACTCAGCACATAGAGGAATGATTTTTGTGTGTAGTAAAGAACCCTGGGAGTGCAAACATGGCTTCATTTTGTTATTTGCAGCTCAGAGTACTTTGAGAATGACCAGTTTTGTTTTGCTTTAGGAGCCAGTTCCAAGAGGATTTTTTTTCCTCTTTGTGTGTTTTTTTTCTTTTTCTGTGTGAACCACATGCACACACAATAATTAACCAGTGAAGAAGGTCAGAAAGGAAGTGACTGGGGAAGATGTACTTTAAACATAGACATTCATGAGGCTGTGGGCTCTAATTAACTGGAATGTTTGTCTGAGGTTCCCAGGTTACATGTTGAATATTAGATAAGTTATTAAAGAGGCAGGTTTTTATTTGTCCTTTTAATTATCAAAGCTTTAATGGCTCTTCAGCTCTACCAAATTAATATTTTTTTTTTTACATTTGGAGAATATTTATGTCTCTTTTCTTGATGGGGTTTGGTGTAACACCAGCATTGCTTTAGGTTAGAATGGTGCTCAGGGTTGTAGTGTAACATGGACTGCTGGGCATGACCAGTTTGTCATGGACAAACTACCTTTGGGAGTGCAGGAGGAGGAGGAGGAGAAGGCAAGTGTCTTCACAGGGTGATGGAATGGTTTGGTTGGAAGGGACCTTAAAGCTCACCCTGTGCTCAGGGTCACTTCCACCAGAGCAGGAGTTACTTGTTTTAGGGAAACTGGGAACCTCTGGGAGGAAACAGTGAGGAAGCAGCCCTGACAGAGCAAAGCTGAGGTATTTTCTCAATGTGGAAATACTCATTTGGTTCTCCAAAGGTTCTGCTCCTTCTCTGGAGTGAGTGATCAGGGTGAAGCACATCTGCTGAAAGGGGATTCCCAACTGGAACAACTCTGAAAAAGCCATTGGGTGGTCAGGGGAGCCCAAAGGGGACACCTGGCAGGTGGAAAGGGGTGGGAGAGGGCTCTGATCGTGCTGCCACAAACCCAAAGGGGGATAGATCACCCAGAAATACATCTGGAGATCAGCTTACATTAGGAGATGGTTTCTGAGTGCCAGAGGCACGATGCTTTCCCTGGGGCCGTGGTGTCCAGGGCCTCTGTGAATGCAGTGACACAGAAAGGAGCCAGCCTGAGCTGTGGGTTGGAATGAGCAGTAACCCCTGCAGGCTCCACTCAGGAATTCTGAGGTTTACACAGTGTCCATTAACTTCACATGGGAAGGGTTTTGATGGGTGCTGTGAAAGCTGCAGAGGCAGGAGTGCTTCAGCCTTGAGAGTAATGCTGGTCCTTGCTGAAACCCATTGGAGCTTCAGTTCTGAGTGGCTGTGGTCGTGCTTTGGGGGAATTTTCCAAATCCAGTGAGGGTATGAATGGGGCAGCAGCACAGCTGATCAGTGCCACCCTTTGTGGCACCACATTCCTTCCCCTGCTGGACCAGAGATGCCTCGGGTTCCTGAGGAGGAGCCAGGCACGGCTGTGGCTCCACAGCTGGGGACAGGTCCCCTCCTCTGGCTGGACTTCCCATCTGTGAACACTGCCTCTTGGAAATGGAGAAGGTATTTTAGTTTTTCCTGTTGTGCTGGGCTCTGATTTTTCCTGCCAGGGCTCTGTCTGTGCCTCCTCAGGAGTGACACCAGACACAGCAAGGTGTAGAGCAGAGCCCTGTGCATCCTGGGGACAAGCTTGGCCATCCCCAGCCACAGCTCCCTGTGTGCTTTCCATGCCAAGCAGCCATTTTAATGCCATTTTAATGCATTCCAAATTTCCCTGCAAAAGCAGCACACACGTGGTTTGCTCTCACATGTGTCTGTGGGAGCAGGGAGATGGCTTTTCCTGGGTGTTCCCTGTCCCCAGCAGGACAGAAGCCACCCACCAGAAGTGAAAACATCAGCTCCTGTGGATAAAGGCAAACATGAAGGAAATTACTTCTTGCAGCCAGAATACATAAAACTTGGTGGGTTTTCCCCTCCTGCAGTCTACTTTTTAAAAAGGACAAAATAATGCTTCCTCTGGCTAATCTTATGTCCATCCTCTGGCCTGAGGAAACATCTGCTCCCCGTGGCAGCCTCAATTGTCCCAGCCAGTTCCCTCTTAGAGTTCCCTTCTCTTCCACTGCCTCCAGCTGCCTTTGTTCCTGCCCACCAGCAATCCCAAAGGCAGGAGCCCATCCTGGTGTCCAGGTTTAGCTCAGGACAGGTTTAACCATCTCCTTGGCAGGGCTTTAGCAGCTCGTGTGCTGTTCTAATAAACAGCACAGTCCCCCTGGTGAGATCAGGAGTCTCTCAGCCATGAGGGTGCTCAAAGGTCACTGACACAGCAGAATAAAAATCACTCCAGTCCTTGCAGCCTGTTCATTGCCTTATGGGCTGGTTAGTGTCTCCTTGGAGCTGGGAATTTGCTCTGGGAGCCAGAGCTGCCAGCAGTGCTGTGGTGAATGACACTGGGGTGGGTTTGTCACTAATCACTTGGGTGTTGACTCCTGGGGAGGAGCATTTGTGTTGGTGGGGTCCTGCAGGCCAGGGGTACTCAGCAGCTTTTCAGCTGCACAGCTTTTTTTGTGGGAGGGATGTGGGTTTTGGTTTGCTTTTGGAACAAAACCATTTCCACCCTCCTCAGAGGCTTGGCTGTCCCTGCTGAGAGGAGCTGCAGCTTCCTGCTGGGATGCAGGATGGAGAGCTGGGCATGGCTGTGGTGGGGCTGGGGCTCTTTGTTCAGACAGCCCCTGGCCATCAGCATTTCCCTCTCTTGTGCTCCTCCTTGCCCCTCCAGGTGGCTTTACCCACCTCTTGTGATTTCAGCCTTCCCAGAGACAATGTGGCTCTTTAGGCAGAATGGAAAACCGTGGAGGGTCACAGCTGTCACCCTCCAGGCATGGAAGGGCTGCTCTGTGCTTTCCATTCCTGGTGAGAAAATTACCCAGCGGTGGAATTTCTCTCTGGCAGGGACACAAGGCTCTGTGCCAGTGTTTCCTGTGCTTGTCACCTTTACCTTTCCTACACGGGAAGGGAAACACCTTTTTGTTCTGAGCCAGTCATTTGTTTCCTGGTCCTTTGTCTGGCTGTGATTGCAGACCCCAAAAATAGGCAGAGGGATGAAAATGCAGAGTACAGGAGCAGCTGTGTGACCAGGAGCTGCTGAGGGGTGAGGAGAACTCTGGAGAAGAGCTTTCCTTGGAAGAGCCTGCTGGGAACAAGTTAATTTGTGCTCGGGGTCACGTGCATTTTATTGCCACAGATGTGCTCAGAAGAGCAGTTCACAAAAGGGGGAAAAAAAAATTAATTGCTGTTAAAAATGTGTATCTGCAGCCTTGTGAGGGCTTTGTGATCCCTGGGAGTTTGTTGTGCAGGGTGTGCTCCCTGAGGGCAGTGACAGCCTTGGTGCAGTGAGCAGTGTCTGCTTCCATCCAGCACAGGGGTGGCTCTGCTCCATCCCTGCCAGGGGTGACTGTGTCCCTGTGTCGTTGCAGGACCGTGGCAGCCGAGGTCAGGAAGCAGATCTCGGGGCAGTATGGAGGCTCCCCACAGCTCCTCAAGAACCTCAACATCGGAGGCAGCGTCTCTCACCACACCACTGTAAGTCATGCCTGCAGCAGGGTTTGCTCTGGGTGCTGTCCACGCTCATTGCACCACTGGGGGAAACTGCTCTGCTGGCACCTTTTGATGTCAGAGGCTCTGATAACACCAAGGACAAAATTCCCTGCAAAACCCACTGATTTTGGGGATTTCTGTGTTGCAAGTCAGTTGGTGTGGCTGGGAATCTGTGTTTCTGCAGAATCTTTGTAGGACAAGGAGCTTTCTTGACCAGATATTAGTTGTTTTATCCCCAGACAGCCTGGATTGGGTATTAAATTCCATGTGTGTGTGGTTCTCTGCATGGAGAGCTCTTTGCAAGCTCCTGCACTTCAGGTTGCTGTTTTCCTGTCCTTGTCACCCTGTACAGCAGGACCACAGCAACTCATCTGTTCTTCTGAAGTATTTTAAATATTATTGTGCAAGTTGAGTGTGCCTATTCCTTGTATTTACTTACACATTTACAGCCCACTTTGAAGAGCTGCATTGTCACAATCACCCTTTCTGAAGTCAGACTTTTTTGCATGGCCTACCAGTAACCTTCCAGATTTATTGTGGTAAACATTTCAAGAGTGCAACAAACTTTTTCAAGCTGGAAATGTTTGATTTGGCGTCTCACTTCAGGTCACGGCAGTTCCTTTTGCTGCAGTCAACTTGGAAAATAAACATTAGAGCATCTTGTTTTCTTCAGAGAGGGGTGGTTAGGTCAGGCAGGGCTGGAAATGTGCCCTGAATTTGGTGGTCTGTGCAAGTGTTGTGAGTTCACAAGAGTTCTTCTCTTTGGATGGGGTCCTGTAGTGTTTCCTCAGTTCCTGGGGTTGTGGGGATGGGCCCATGGGAATTCCCTCTGCTTCATGTGCAGTGTAACCTGTCAAAGCTTCCTCCTGTGGAGCACAAAGTGTCCTCGGAGCTGTGTCACCCCAGAAGGGACCTCCAGGCTGACCTGTGGCTCAGAGCAGTGCCTTCTCTGCAGGCACAAACTTCATCTCTGAGGTCTGGCTGTGCCAGGGGCACTGGGGATGGAGCAGGGCTGGAATTCTGTCGTGTCCCAGCAGCTCAGGGAGAGCAGAAGGCTGGTCTGTCAGCAGCCTGCTGGGCGCTGAGCAGCTTAATGAGAAGGGTTGATGAGAGAAGGGTTAATGAGAGCTGCTGCCCAGGCTATTGCCTTACCTCAGTGGCTCTGCTGGGCTGTGCAGTGATAATGCAAAGCCCTGACTTGGCACTTCTGGATGGTCTTTTGCATAATCCAGCATTAGGGCAGGGAGGGTCCCCTGCTATTAGCTGGAGAGTGGAGCACTCAGGGTCATTGACTCCATTTCCCTGCAGCTCTGGCAGCTGAGGAGTGCATTCCCATTGGATATCCATCCCAGGAGCTGCTGGGCCTCCCCTGTCCCACCTTGGTTTCATCTTGGCTGAATTGCCTTTGTGCTCTCACAAAGTGAGATGTTTTCTGTGAGCCTCTCCAGCTCCTCCTCACCCAAATATGTTTTTAATCAGTTTCTCCTTGTATCACCTCCTTTCATTCTGAATTACCTTTTTTCCACTTTTTCCTCTTATTCCTGAGGTTTTTTTTCCATTCTGCCACCAACTAAGCATTCATGCTCAAAGCTTCAGTCCTGTTGATCTTCACATGTAATTTTTGATACAGCAGCAGACTTGTTGGTCATGGCATTATCAGTAGCTCTCATTACCCTGTTGCCCTGGTGTTTGCTGGTAAATATATGCAAGGATCTATGAAAATGCTGGAAAAGGTCATGCTGGCTGGAAGCAGGCTCTGAGCTTCTCCTATCAAGCTGCATTGTGTGATGGCTGCTGTGATAAGCTCCCAGTTTGTCACATTAAATTGGGTGCTGAGCAGAGATGCTCTGCAGAAGCCTGATTAACACGGGGTGATGGTTTGTAGGAGATAGTCTGTAGGAAAAGTCTATTTAGTTAAGTCATGAGTCTGTATCCTGAGGCTGCATAATGCAACAGAGGTTTGCTTGTCTGAATTTTGGGTTAATTTCTCTCCCTGAGGCATCCGTGAGGATCTGCTGTGCCTGCCTGGCCTGGTTTGATAATCAGCATTATGCAGAGGGAAGGCATTGCTGTGTGAAGCTGGTTTGCTCTGGAAAAGCTCACTTCTGTGTAGCCACACTGGTTTAAAAGCCTAAAGTAGGGCATGTCGTGTGGGAGTGAATAGGAAATTCCTGCTGAAATGTTGTGTGGTTGAGTTCCAGTATCTCCACAATGGCAGCTGGTTGGGATGGGGGCTCCAGCCTGCCAGAGTTGAAGAATTATTTGGCCAATGCTCTCAGGGATGCACGGGGTGGGATGGTTGGGGTTGTCCTGTGCAGGGCCAGGAGCTGGAGGATGATCCCTGTAGGTCCCTTATCACTGGAGGGGTGCTGGGGACAGCCAAAGGTGATACAGAGGCTCCATCACCAGAAGGCATGAAAAGACACTTTATTATTAGAAATGTACAGCTCTTGTAGAAACAATGGTGGACTTAAGGCCTGATTGGCTTTTAGGAATCTTCCCTCACACTGTTGGTGAGCTATGAATAGCACACTCTGGAGAACCATATCTATAAACAATGGTTACAGAAAGAGAGATAATAATTGTTTGAATTCTTTCTTCTAAATTTCTTACAGCTTTTACACAGCTCCCCAGGATGTTCCTGGGAGAACTGTGTCTCTTTCTGTGTGGAGGATATGTAATTACTGCAGTCCCTTCCAGCTCAGGTTACCCCATGATCCTGTGACTCCAGTGGTTTTGCAGGTGTGGTCTCTCATGCCCACCTTGCTCACTGTGCTGAGAATTCTGCTCCAGGAAAGGTCAGCACTGATCCTCTGATGGTTTGTCTGAGAGTCTCACCAGTCCAGTGGAGGTATTTTGGTGGAGTTTTTGTGAATGAAGAGCCTCCAGCACTGTGCTTGCTTGGCCCTTGTCAGCTGAGGTCAGTGCAGGGATGTTCCCCACTCCACAGGCTTGCCCGTGGTTGAACCTGGGATAAATGCAAAAGCCTGTCAGCTGAAATTTAGCAAGTCTCTTCCCTTTTGCCTCACAAGCAGCAGACAAAGTGCTGCCAGAACTGTTTCTAATTTGGTATCTGGTAGAGCTGGGGAGAAGACACTGCTTTCAAATGAGTTTATTATTGTCAGCCTCCACCCTTCTGCCACTTTAGGAGCAGCTGATTTGAATTGTACACTCCTCAAACCCCAAACACAGGCCCAAGGCCCTGGGAGGCTTTTCCTGTGTAACCCAGTGTGCCAGGCTGGGATCCTGGCAGGATGCAGTCCCTGCAGCTCTGAGCTTTTTCTTCCTGCAGCCCACAGCAGAAGGCACTGACAGTTTGTTATTGGGAAGAAGGAGCTGTGAGCTCGCAGAGTTCCATGAAGGAGGGTTTATTTTTTTTTTTAAAGCTATTTTTGCAAGTCTCTCCAAGCCCACTGGTGAGTGGGGTGTGCATTTGCACCTTGCTGGGGGTGCTCTGGGTTGGAATGCATGGGCTGTGCTCACCCTGGCTGCCCCCAGAGGTTCAGCATTCCCTGCTGGGAGTGGTGCTTCTCACCAGCAGCCCCACTTGCAGGATGGGGAATTTGCTCTGTTTGTTTGGTGACCCAGGCTGTTTACTATGGGCCATTATAATCCCTCATGACTAACCACTTTCTTTTCTTCCCAAGTTTGTTTTTTCTGTGGAGCAGCTCCCTGTGCTCAGTTAACTCTGTCTGCTGAAAGAAGATAAAGACTTATAAAATCTTGGACTTCTTTTTTCATTTTTGAGTGCCAAGGATAATAATTGAAATGTTTTTTGGTTGTTGTCCAAAACATGTTTTTTTTTTTTCTTCCCAGGACAAAGTTCTCTTAATTTTTAAAAACCTTTTCTCTTTTTGCTATTTCTTTACATCTTTAGAGGTATATTTTAATGGTTGGACCCAGTGGTGTGGTTGACAAGATGGTGTTCAGTCAAAGTTTGGGCATGGATCATCTTGGAGGACCTTGCCAGCCTTAATGATTCTGTGATTTAATTAGAAGAGCAGCTTTCTACTAAACTTGCAAATAAGCAGAGTGAATGTACATTCAGTTGTTTTATAGAAAAATCACAGCTTTTTCCAAGGGATTGGGTGTGATATTTCCTGCCTTTTGATGTATGTTACAGCACAGATGATTGTTAGCATGTAAAGGAGCACTGTTATAAGAGATACTAATTAGTCTGGGAATAAAGGGGTCTGGATTCTTGGATGTGATGTGATCTGACCACGTCCGCTCTCAGCACTTCATTTTCTCCTGTAAAATGAAGGTGCTGACATTTACATATCTCTGTGAAGCACTGCTGGCTTTATGGGCATTATCTGGGCTAATTGAGCCTTTGTCTTGGATTTATTGGATGTCAGACTTTGGCCGTGTACTCAGAGATAGCATCTAATTATTCAGTAAAGAGAATATAGGTTCCTTTGTATGTTTCCATTGTTTATTTTAACATAATTTAAGAGAAGAAGAAAATGTGATTTGTATAAATGAATGGGAAGCACAGCAAAGGAAAACATGACAGTGTCCTGCGTTTTGGAGTGCTCAGAGCCAAGTAATTTTATCACCAAAAATTGAAAAGGAGAATGAGCCAAGTCTTTATGCTGTCTCAGGAGGGTGAAGGGTGCCTCCCATTATTTGTATTTCCTGGAGGTTTTTCTCTGCCTGGCTGGATGGTTGATCCTCATCGGTCAGGGGAGGATGGGAGAGGCATCCACATCCTGTGCTCCTCCTCCCCGGGGGCTGCTCGCAGTTCACTCTGCTCTGTGCAGGCATTTCTGCAGCACATGGACACTGCTCCCTGCCCTGGCTGGAGTCAGCCTGTGGCACAGGGCAGGGGTGTTGTACCTGCTCAGGTGGCTCTGCTGTGCCCTGGAATCTCTGCAAGAACTTCAGCAGTGTTAGCAGAGAGCAGGACTCTACTAAATGATATCACACCAAGTAATTGTTAATAAACAGGCTGGGAGAGCTGGGGAGGAGAAGGATCCAGGGAG